TTTACTATACAAAATTCTTGAAATATTTCTGTTTATACACTTTAATATTCGTTAGAGTGGCTTGATTTATACACTTTAATATTCGTTAAGGTGGCTTGATCATTCATTATAAATTAATTGTGATACAAATGATGGTAAGTGAAGGCATCGATTTTTAAAGAAAGTATCGTAATTACCCATTTCCCGATATCATTTCCTCTACAGCCAATATCCAGCATCACATAGGGTTAGAGTTACATAGCGTTTAATTAGCTGCAGGTATATACTGTATTGTTAGTAAATTTCTACCCGCATGATGTCGAGAAATGCAACTTGACCCATAAATTCGTATAACTAATATTGAAAGTTTTTGAAATTAAATAAATTTTTAATTAAAAAATTTTTTTTTGAAAAAGCGCTCTATTTTTCTAAAATATAAGGTCTGCAAAGCAATTGAGTAAAATTTTTAAGGAAGTTAATATGTAAATTATTGAGGAGATGCGGTTTGAAAATCAACAGTTTCTTATAAAATTATTATAAAAAGTTACTAAAATTTAAACCGTATCTCCTCAATAATTTACATATTAACTTCTTTAAAAATTTCACACAATTGCTCTGCAGACCTTATATTTTAGAAAAATAGAGCGCTTTTTTAAAAAAATGATAAATACGTAATAAATTCGATAAAACTTCGCTAAAATTTGAGTTTTTTATTATAAATCGTTGTCTTCATTACACAAAAAAATTTACTATTTATTTTTACTATGAGACTATACATTAATTTGATTTACATAGTGCATCGAACACCCCAGCGCTGCGCATATAGTTATACAATACATAGATTTGAGTTTTTGATTGGTCGATTTGGTAGATCAATCACATGACTGTGAAATTTTGTTGGCGCACCAGGGCGGAGGATCTACGGACAGATCTTAGGGACAGATATGATCATGTGACATTTGGAAATCACGAAACTTTAGACGCATAAAATTGGTATAATCAAATATATAACTAAGATACGTATTTATGAAATTATTCTGAATTCAAGTATTTTGTAATGAAACTTAAATATAGCTAATGTATAATTATTTTTTCTTGATCAGTTTTGCTAGTCGAACCGCTTATTGAAAGAAATTGAGTAATACGATCTTGGATCAATAACTTCCAGCGTATTGCAGCTAAAGTGGCAAATTGGGACCATCGATTAACAATTGGTGGAACAGGTGTACCAGGTCTCAATACTAGTGCCACGTAATGATTTTCATTAACAAAAGCCATTGCAAGAGCTTCGTTTCGGTTCAAGGGATGGTGATATGGAAGAAATGTAAGGCTTATTTGTAATGAGAAAAAGTATAACGGTCTTTGGTAGGTATTTGCTATAACATCGCCTATTTGTGGCATTCTCATCCAGTGTTCGAATGTACAAGGACCACTCTCCCAAGAAATCTCCTTTACAATCATATCATAATCATCATTAGCTAGAAATAACATTCGGTAAAATTGCTCCTTTTCATTTAATTCATTCAATAATTCCTTTCTTATCTCTGGCCACTCATCTTTGTTTCTTCCTAAACACATGGCTACTGCTCTATACCCGCAATTGCCATCTCCGTCTACATTAATCACTTCTTTTATATATTCATGCATATAAGCAGGTATTTGATCATAAAATAAAGGTTGTTGCGTATGTTGTGGACTTTTCATAAGTTTTGTTTCTGTTTTTTTTGTATTTTTTCTTTTACAATTTTTTTTTTTTTTGTAGTTTTTTCTTTTTTTATAGCAGCTTTATCTTGAATTTCACTGAGAAGAGGGTCTCGCTTAGTAGATGTTGGATGTTTCTTTTTAGGTGCATTAGGCAACGGTGCCTTTGGAATAACAATTTCTTCACTAGCTAGTGCCTCGATCTTATGCAAAAACGTGGCCTTTGACCCACTATCATTTAGATTTTCATATTTTTCTTCGAGCTTATATAAAATCTTAGTAATAGTAAAGTCAGTTGATAGTGATGGTGGTAACAAGGGTATTGTATCATGTTTCAAATGCCAACGAGAATGCACAAGAGCAAGTGGAATAGGTCCTGTCTGTGGAATTATGTGACGGCATGGTAATTTATAATTTAATCTTAAGCTACAATCACAAGGGCTATTATCTGTATTTTTATTCTCTCCTATTTCACATACTTCATTTTTGATTTTATCGATTGCCCATTTAGAAATTTTTCCAAGCAACAACTCAAATCTCATATTATTACGTATAAATGGATCAGCAGAAATTATGTTCAAACCAAAGGTTCCATTTGTTCGTAGCTGGCGCTGACGGAAGGCACGGTCAATATGTAAAAAGACTTGTTCCAAACCACTTGCTGCCTCGATTGCTTTTTTTAAAGCACTATGACTTCCTTCTGCTCGCTGTGTCGACTGGATCCCCATATGCGGATAATTTTTAGTAAATACATGCATCCAACATTCGGCATCATTTTTCCATTCCTCAAAATAAGTTTGAATATATTTTGGGTCTCTACTTTTCATTGCTGCTTTATTAACCTCATTAAATGCCTTTTCAACCTCATTCATTTTCTCAGCATAAGCAACTTTTTGGATCGATAATAGAAGTTCATTGTAATCTTCATCAGAGTTAAAGAATTTTCTACACGCAGTTCGTAAGTTTTGCGCAAGCATATGCCATATGCATATCATTTTTTTTGCTTCCGGGAAAACCTTGTCTGCTGCCTTTCGAAGAGCTAAGGCTCTATCTGAAATAAATACCTCTGGAGAACAAGAAAAAAGATCATAGATCGTCTCTTTTAAAGTAAATAAAAACCATTCGTATGTGGGTTCTTGCTCATTTGATACCCATGCCATTGCAATAGTATATGTATTAAGAGCTTTGGAGTCACCGACATTACTGACACCTACAGCATTTATAAGAGGAAGCTTATATATGTTGGTCTTATACGTTGCATCAACCATAAGCACCTCTGGGCATATTGCTACCTGACGTGCTGCTTCATTATGTGTAAAAAATAAGTTTAACATGTGGCCATCTTTTGTTAATACATGACGAACTATATACTGACGTTCATCCAACATTTGTAGAAAGCGCACTGTAGTATCACGATTTGTACCCTCATTTAAAGCATTTTTTATTTGATCACGTTCATTCATTATATCTTTTGTATATATAGTGCCGTTCTTCCAGTGTATTGCATCAGCAATTGACTGAGTTGATGCGCCACTCTTAAGCATAATATGAACCAACTCTTTTTGTTCTGTACTGAGGCTCCGATGTTGAGGAAGGCAATGAACTTGGGATGGAAGAAGTAGTTCATGATTATGCTCAGTTTTGGAAGATTTTATTACCCAAACTTCAGTATTCTCATTTAAGACAGCTCGTAACATGACAGAGCAATTTTGACGCTTTGTGGACTTCTTTCTTTTTCGAGTTTCTTCAGTGATGTTATGGTTATTTCTATATTTACCCCCCATTGTGCATTGCAATATAATATAAGGAGTGTGACCACCCTTTCCACCACCGGATACTTTTGATGATGATACGCTAAAAGCAAAACCTGCTGCCTTGGCACCTTCCTGCGCTGCTTCTTTAAAGCTTTCTACTGTTGGGAATTCATCGCCAACTTCTGGAATTTGTGGCTGTGGTTGCGACATTTATAAGATAAGTTCTTTTAAAAAAATTTGATCGGTTTATATGAAGAATTAAATAGTTAATACAACAGTATTTTTTTATTAAATGCTATTGAGAAATCTTCCTTTTATTACAAATTAACGACTTTTTATAAGTCATAGCCAGATGGTTTATAAAGTAACGCCGAATATAAAACTTGAAATGTTTAAAAGAAAACCAGTGAGGCAATAATACATTTTCATTTTTCATTTTTTATAATATGATTATGAAACCAAACTAACGGCTTTTTTTTTTTTTTGCTCCAACTTTCCTTACAAGCACAATAATAGGACACAACCAACTGGATTTTTTTTTTTATTTCTTTGCGACTGCATATAATTAATCTTTTCTTGGTGATATTATGTATTGGTAATGCGCACTCTTATGCAGGTTTCATAACGATCTTCAATTTAGGATGTTGATCATGATTTTTGAATTACAGTCTAATGAATAATTACAATTATTTAAGGTAATTTTTCCTTTTTTTTTTAAGCCGGTTTCTCTAGCATGATTACTGAAATCATTTATGCATTTAATGTTTAAAACTTAATGAAATATATATTTAAAATAGAATCATCTTGATTTATATTCAGAGCTAGATAATTTCAGGCAAGATTTTTTTATAACTTGTTTGATGTTTCTCGAAGACTATTTACTATACAAAATAAAGTAATACTAAAAAAATAAAAAAGATCTTTTATTGAGAATTGTTGATGTAACGTATTGAAAGTAATTAATTTTTGAATTTTATGCGTGAATATAGTCTAAAATTTTGCAGAATTTGACCCAGCCGGGTATGAGAACCAATTTATTAAGTTTGTATAGCCTTATGATATTTATATGTTCAATATAGCAATAATTATGTTATGTCTAAAGTTTCGTGATTTCCAAATGTCACATGATCATATCTGTCCCTAAGATCTGTCCGTAGATCCTCCGCAGCTAAGCCTCCGAAATTCGAAACAACCACGTGATCTTCATAATTCCAGCCAGAGTTACTTGACTTGAAGCTTAAGTTTAGCCAAAACGAAATAAATCGAAATTTTTGCTTAAATCGATCGAAATTTTTGGTTTAAATCGAAAGAATATTTCCGTGTCCCTGTCAAACATACGGTGTGTATCACGTGACCAAAGATCTATTCTCTACATGTTAATAATAAATTCTTTCGCGTGTATTTATTAGTTTGTAAGCTTCTTTATACGAGGTTTCTTTCGTTTTCTAATATCGTAGTATTAATTAAAAATTATGCATTTGATTGGTTAATTATCACGGTAGATCTACAAAAATTAACCAATCATATAAATGTCTTCCTATGAAGTGTAATCATTAATTTTCACATTGATCTTCTAATGCCAATTGTTCATACTCCTCAAGATGCCATCCCATTTTAGATTTTGGCACCTTGAAATGATGAACATTATGTGCTAATAATCGAATAACCTTATCACTGAAATATTAAGTAGCTTAGAAAGTGAAGAATATTCAAATTTTATACATATTATGTACAACTTACTTGGCTTTAGTTTGACACCAAATACAATAATCATCCAGCCATATCTTGGAGTATGTGTAATAAATATCGTGATGATCAAATATATCTTTTAGTTCAAGCAAAACCTTTAAAATAGCACGTCGACCTAATTTTAAAAGAACATATACGTCGTCAAGACATTTTTCTGATAATTCAAAATTTCGATACCATGGATATGCTAATGATCGACGAAATAGTGCAATAATTGTTTCTTCGAGGGAGTTGAATTCCTTAAAAAAGGCAAATTGTGGAATTTAGCATGCATTAGACATTAAACATTAATTTCATTGTTTAAATTTACGAACCTCAAGACATGATATGGTTGGACTTAATTTTCCAATTGTCCACGCGGATTCTACCGTAATTTCGCCTTCATATACTCTATGATTGTAACTATACGCGTATAATAGATCAACCAAACCAAAATATATCGCGTCTGTGTTTTGTATAAGGTCTGAAGAAAGCAATGATTATTGGTTTCATGGGAAAGGTTTCAGATCAAACGACTGCATTTACAATAAATACATGATTTGTTTGGCAGATTCATCATCATCAAGGTTTCTTTCTCAGTGAATTTCAAAATATTATCACTATTTTTATTATTCTCATCATTTGTTGTGATTGACGCAGATTTTGACTGCGTTATGGCAATTGGATTATCACACAAATTCTGTAAATGATGAGTACATGAGTCATTATATTAATTTCAACGAATTAAGAATTAAGAGAAATTAAGAATTAAGAGAAATTAAGAGGAATTAAGAGATAATGTTTTAAAGTAGAAATTAAGCACCTTATCATCTTCCATATTTGCATTATTTTTATTGATCTGTTGTATTTGCTTAAGTAGTTTCGTCCAATTAGTCTTGTATTTTATAAGATGTTTTATATCTTGAACACCCATAAAATCAGCACTACATCACAATTTAGAATAAGAGCCCACAGAATATTTCGTCAAGTAACAAAAATAGGGGATAGGTTCACTTACATATAATGATCAGGATCAAACTTAACATTTTCAGCTTTGATTCGATCCCGACGACGGGATTCAAATGTAGAACTTTCTACATCAATTATATCAATAATTTCGTTACATGTTTCTTGCACATGCGTGAAATAACCGGAATAAAGTCCGTTAAAACCATAACTAGCTGTCATTGAGAGAATATCCTAAGAGATGATAAAATTCAAAATTCTCGCGTCATGAGATACCGAAATTCTCGTGTCATGAGATACAAGCGCATTAAAATGTATTGAAATCTATATCGTCTCTACCTTTTCGTTCGGAATTTGTTGCGGTAATTCCCAATCATAAGAGTCAGCTATTTAATTAAAGATCAAACCATTAAGCATCTTTTTCACATTGTGTTTATAACTTGCTAAAAAAATTTTATCACATACCTTCTTCTATCAACTTTCGTAATTTTTGTGTTTCAGGATCGTCAGATTTATCGATGACTTCCTGAATTAAAGGCTTATCAAATACTTTATTTTGTTCTGAATTATTTTCAAAATTCTCAACTAATCGTTTCATGAGATCATCATTAAGATC